GCCTTTCCTGGCAACTCTGAAGTACTATTTACTGATGAAGTAGCACCTCTGCTTACATGTTTCTTCCATCCTCATTCCAGGTGGGATCTCAGCTTATAATGCAGGAGTTAACACTGTCCACACCTACAACAAAATGGATATTGGCAAAACACACAACTATGCCAATGATGTGGATGTGAGAGACAGGTTTTGTAAGACAAATGGGTATTGAGATCTCTGAATAATGATTATATTTGAGGCCCCGATTGTATACTTTGCTTCTAATTAAGAACATTCTGGATTTATCCTCCCCAAAAACAGTAAGAAAGGGGGAGGACAATGAAGCCAGGAACAAGTACAAACTTGCAGTAGGGTTTTTTTCCAGCTAAGGCTAAAAACGTAACTCAAAAGATAACACAGCTCATAGTCTAAACTGTAACTTACCTTTTGCCTTTTATTTTTCATCTTACTTCATGAGAAGTAAGATTTTTTCATCTGTGCCTGCAGTTTCTCAAGCAGCAGATAATGCTGCAAGGAAGTTGTAACACTACTTAACAAGATTTTACCCACCTTACGTTTTATCTGTCGATTCACATGTCTAACAGTTGTACAAAGCAGCAGCACCGGCCATTGAGAGAGGCTAAGCTGTCCCTGTCAGAGGCTTTAAAGACCCAGCTGGACAAAGCACTGAGTAACCTCATCTGAACTCTGTGTTGAGCAGGAGGTTGGACTAGAGACCAAAATGGTACCTTCCAACCTGAATTTTGCAATCACCTTCAGTCAGTCTGTTTGTTCTCTACACAAAAAGGCAATGTCTCTTATCTGCTTCAGAAAGATCTACATGGAGCATTAAAAAGCTCCATTACTGAAAGAATGTGGACACACACTGTGTTTGTGCAACCGGCTGGTTCAGGTTTTAGGGTTGAGAGCAAATCTTTAGAGAATGTATGGTCATACAGAGAAGGTTTGGAATAGCAGACTAACTCCACAGGAGTGGAGGCCCCTGGGGGGAAATACCATTTCAGAAACACCCAAACATACACTTATATTAAAAAGTTAAAAAAAATACAATTTTCTTTTTCATTGGAACTGTCAGCTTGTCAATTAAACACCTCTGTAAACATCTCTTGTAGCTGAATCTTACTCAGAAATAACAGGTACTATGTATTATCCCTTCTCTCCATTTGGGAGCCTGCTATTAGCTCTGCTTTAGCTTCCATTGTTTATCAGACACTTTAAGCTGTGAACTGTACCACGCCTTTTCATTAACACAGTCCCTCCGGGATACCTTGCAGCACTTTTGTAGGCTGCAGCGTCAGAGATCCATACGCATATCCATATGCGGGGCGTGTGGGATGGAGCAGGCAGAGCCCTCTGCTGGAAGCTCCCCAGGCTGCAGTGCCACGGACACGAATCCTCAATGCACCTGACAAGGCTGAGCCAGCCTGGCTCTGGTGCTCTGGGACACTGATCCAGGCACAAGTCTTAGTATCTGCTATCCACTAGCAAGATCCATTTGCCCAATGTTTTGTGTCCTAGTACTTGTACCATCTCTTTAAAGAATGCCCTGTGCCTTGGATGTACTACACATGTCCTTCAAAAGGGCTCAAATTCCAGCTTGTACCTCCCTGTGGAAATACCATCAACACCTTGCAGACTGCAGTTACAACACACTGCAGCACAAGATGCTGTGCAGATGCTGGAAGAGAGAGGTGAGAAAATCATCATTAATTTATCTTAATTAATTAATTCCATGCTATTTCAGCTCAAATTCTCATTTCTGCCTTCAGCCTGGCCACAGGGGCCATTAGACTCCTCAATGCCACTACCACAGCCTATCTTTTTCCTTCTGCACAGCACCTCCAGCTTTTGTCCCTGTACTATCTCTTCCTTTGAACTCCTACAGGTGTTTCCTCTTCTCTGCAAGCAGGCAGAAAGGATAAACACTAATTTTCAGTGACTGCATCCCTCTGATGTTCTCGCAACATGCAGTCATTAAGATTAACTCCTCTTCAGTGTGTCTAATGTGGGAGAGGCTCACAGTGTGCTAAATTACAGAATTTATCCTGGCTGGAATGCAAACTACTTTATCATTTGATACAGCAGCAGCTTGCTAACTTTAGCCACAGTTCTTAAAACTGTAAACAAAACTACACACATAGTAGTATTTTATAAGCTTGCAGCCCATAATTCTAACTGACATCAGAGGTTTCCTTCAGGGTCTCTACACTTCTAATGTCTGCCATTTTAGAAAAGGAAAAGCATTAACTTTCACACAGACTGCAGCTCTTAGGCTAATCTTACTGAACACTTAGGATCAGTATAGGGGATATATATGAAGACAGCAGGTTTCCTGAAATCAGACAACAAACCAAGAGGTGAACAACTCCTGTTATTCCCAAATGGAGAGTTCACATGCTTTGTAAGCTACAGAACAAGCCAGATGACTGATTGCTAGGGAACAAGCGTGAGATCTGGATAACCATGGTAAATCACTCTCTGTGGACAGCCAGTCAATTCTGACGTGACTACTAAACAGAGGGCTTTTCAATTCCAATTCTAATTCCCTCTGCTGAGCAGTGAAAGTTCTGCAGTACTGATGTAAATCTTTACTGCTAGCTGTGAAATGTCCCCACCATCATTAGCTAGATCTATTCTATTCACTTCCCTGCTTATTTGACTTTATAAATTAAGTTCTCTTACAGTTAGCCAAAAACTGCAGCAATCTAGCCACAAAATTAAAACACAAAGACAGAGAGCCTGTAATTCATTTAATATTTCAGGTAACTATTAACAACATTGAATTTCATATCTGTACACCTGCAATTCTTCTTTAGGCATCAATATCACCTTTGCCATTCATATCAGAGTAAGAATTTTTACATTTCATACACAAACTCTTAACTGGGGATTTAAAGTACTTATTTTATAAAATGTAAATCCAACCAGCACACCCTATGACTTAATTTCTTTCTGCTCCACAGGTTTCAGGCGTGTTTTAATGACAAGCTCTCCCCTGTTTGTCAGAAAGGTGCTGGAAATTTCCTCTTCTGTTGGCAGTCCATGGGGTAGTTTCAGTGGCTGTATTCTACAGGCAAAAGAGTCTGCTTAGTGAAGTCCCGTGACTAGAAGAGAGTTACATTAAATGTTCCAAATAAACAAATAGATATACAAATAGTTAACAAACCTTATCAGATGTTTAACAACTTTCAGTCTGGAATTCACAGAAGGGATATTTTTGTGCAGTCTTGGCTGATGTGCCTGCATAAGGGATAAAACAAGTTTTACAAGTGTGTTTCCAAATCCCAAATCTTTGTTCACTGAACTTTGCACACTACCAGTAAAAAAATTTGCAAATGTAGTAGAGAACTGCCATGCATCAAGAACATACAAAAAAATATGCAATCAAAATTTGATTCCAGGAAAAAGACAATTTCAGCTTTATTCCTATTTCACTATAAATGTATAAATTTTCTTCCAACTGTTAAAAATACTACAAATGTACATACAAGAGTTTAGGGGCAAAACTGCTTTCTTCAGTTCTATCTTAAACTGATCAAGCACACATTTCTTTCTCTGTAATATAACAGTGACTAGACAAATATTTGCAGTTAGCCCAAATATCTTGGATAAACACATCTTTGACACAAACTTTTAGAGTCTTAAATTTGGAAACATTTTCATTGATAAACAAATTTTATTTGCCTTCCTACAATTTCTGAATAACATGACCCACAGAGACCTAAATTCAAAATGTTTACAAACCTATTTCTATTGTTTTAGAAGAATTCTCAGGGTAAAGTTCTCCTCAGGCAATGTAGCACAATACCATACAGGGATATTTTGAATTCCCATTAAAAGCACATTTGCCACAAACATTCCTCTCAGCTCTTAAACACATCATCACCTTCTCAGACCGCTTTATGGCTGCTATAAATGTAATTCTGGTTTGTGACTGCGAAATGGAGGTCCTTGTAAAACCCACCACATTAGTGCAACATTTCTGACATACACAAATATAAAGAACAACAATCTTACTTTATCCAGTCCCAGATCACGTATTATCTTCTTTTCCCAATATGGGCGACCAATGACACTTTTTATTCTAGTAATAACATGGATTTTGTGGGGCTCCTCAGGGTCACCTCCATACTTTTCATGATCTCCAGGCCGTGGCTGAAATACCTAGAATAAAAAGTTCACAAAACCAGAGGTTTTTTCCCCAAATACCTGGCCATCAGTACTGCAGTTTACTGTCCAAAACATACTTCAACCTCGGTAAAAATTCTTACATATTTTTCTTTTCAGGCTGTCAAAGCACCAACAAAGAAACCTCAAATTTAGGTTTTACAACATGAAGTCAAACTTATTTCTACAATGGTTTGCTGATAAATATAGTAACTCTTGAGTTTAGCCACACAACGGCATAGAAATACATGGACAACACCCAGCACAACACCTAATTCACGTGCATTTTATCAAGGAAAACGATAAAAGGCTGTGCTCAGCCTCTCGATGGCAAGTTTCCCACAGGTCTTAAGAAACACTTTAGGGAAAACAGTCAACTAACACTAGATGGTACCTCGCAAAAATAAGCTAAAACTTTAAATGTGAAAATGTAAAGCGCAAGTGAAGCACATACCGAGTCTGGAATTCTCGACCTGGTAAAGAGACAACGAACCCACACTGGGGACACAATCCCCTCCGTCCTCTTTCCCAGCACCTGCAAAGAGAGGAGGGCACTTTCACATTTGTCTGCACTTTCCTTATAACTCTGAGCATTTGCAAACAGACGACACAGCTACGAATGCCAGCCCCACCTTCCCAGCGGCTGCGGAGCCCCGAACAGGATCCCCAGCTGGATTAACCCCCACAAAACCCCGCTTGGATCCCTTTCCCGGAATCCCATCTACATCCCCACTTTCCCGGAGGCTGCAAGCCTCAGCCCCAGCCTAAATCTCTCCTCGGCTCCCCCCCTGGCTTTTCCCATACAGCCCATGCCCACTCCAGCTCCTCACCTTCCCGAGGCCTGCATGCCCCAGGCCCGCCCGGCCCGCCGCGACCGCCATGTCGGTGCGCACCCTTGTGTGTCCCGGCCGCACAGCGGTGCCGCGGCACTTCAGTTCCGAGCGGGCGGAAGGACAGCGGTGCGACACCTCCGCTCCGTGTCCCCGCCCGTCCCTCTCCCATCGCCATCCCGGTCCGTGTCCTCATCCCCGTCCATGTCGCGGGCGGGGAACAGTAACACTGCCGCGCTGGAGCGGGCCGGGGCGGAGACGGTGAAGCGGGCGGTGCAGCTGGACGTGGCGTCCCGGTTCCAGGAATCGCTGGTGTGCTACCAGGAAGGCATCGACCTCCTGCTGCAGGTGGTGAAAGGTACCGGGCTGGGCACCGCCGTCGGGGCCCGCGGTGGCCCTGGGGACACACGAGCGGTGTTGGACCCCGGCGTCCCACGGGGAGGAAGGGGGAGCTGGCGATCTCCTCCCGGGGGAGCCGGGCCAGGCAGGGCTCGGGAGGGCCTGACCCCGTGTTTAACTGGCCCGTGACTTTTTGTGATTCACAGCCACGACAGATGAGGCGAAAAAGCGCCGCTACCGGCAGAAAATATCCGAGTACATGACCAGAGCCGAGGACATTAAAAAACACATTGAGAAAGAGAAACAAGGTATAAATACCTAAATGGGAGGGTACTACGAGGAGGAAGTCAGACCATTCTCAGTGGTGCCAATCACCAGGACACAGGCAAGGGGTAGAAACTGATGCCCAGGAAGTTCCACCTGAGTATGAGGAAGAACTTCTTTACTGCGCCGGTAAAACACAGCAGTGGGACAGATTGCACAGGGAGGGTGTAGAGTCTCCCTCTCTGGAGATACTCAAGAACTCGCTGGACACAATCCTGTCCGTGTGCTTTGGGATGATCATGTTTGAGCGGGGAGGTTGGATCAGATGTCCCACTGAGGTCCCTTCCAGCCTGACCCATTCTGTGATTCCATGAGCTGTGATGTACCCAACATACCCATTTGCTTGTAATTGTCTGTTGTTACATGAATGTTTGAAGGGCGAGGTAGTTTAACATGGAAATTATGTCCTGACCTTTCCTTAAAAAGAGATTCACTTTCCTTTCAGATGGCAAATACCATAAGCAGATCAGGATAGAAGAAAATGCAACAGGTTTTGGCTATGAAAAGCTTTTCCACGAGTACCTCACTGAGATTGTTTCTGAAGTTTGGGTGGAGGACCCATACATTCGGCAGGTTCATCAGGCAAGTAGATATTTGGTGTAAGTGATACAGATGTAGCCACTAGAGAAATTCCAAGCTACTAAATTAAATAAAACTTTTTCAGTTGTATAACTTTCTACGATTCTGCGAGATGCTAGTTAAGGGGCCATGCAAGGTGAGAACAATCCACCTCCTCACTTCCTATGATAAGGTAAGTATCTAGATTTTGGGTTCTATTTCCCTGTACTCAGATCATGTCACATGCAAAACAAAATATAAAAATGCAGTCTTGTTCCTACTTACCAGGACTTGTTATACTCAGGGTATCAGCAGAAAACACAGATTAAGAGAAAAATTTGATATTTGAACATAATTAATTTTTTAAGTTCAGAGTTTTCTGGTTAACAAAATCTGGGTAAGCAGAACCTTATGATTTCTGTGACAGTTTTGTTGTGGAAAACATCATAAAAACTTAAGCATCTGCTGAGACAAGGGGTTTTTTTTCTCTTGTGACAGATGTATTTGTCATTTTAGAGGCTTTCATGAGCTGAAATCACTCAAACTACCACTGCACTTATTTAAACTATTACTGCACTTATTTTGGCTCAAATAGTACATGTTTAGTTTCAAAGGGCTGGGAGTGAGCTCCTCCTCCACACCCCTTAGCAAATATACCTGTAGTCTGTCTTTGAAACTGTAAATCTGCCTTCATCCAGATTACTTTCTTTTGGTTTACTTTGATACTGAAAAGGTTTTGTGTGTGAGTTGAAGAAGTGATGACCAGAAGTAATATATATAGTTAAAAAAAGAAAACAAAACCCCATCACATTATTTTTACTTTTGATAGGGTGGTGGGAGTAGTCAACAGATGGCTGCCTTGGAAGAAATAAAACAGTCATTAAGTAATTATGGAGTAACACTGAATATTGACTTTTCATCTTCAATACATGATCGAGAAATCAGGTGGGTGATATTAAAAATTACCAAATCCCAGTTATTTGAAATCAAACTATTTAACCCTAACTTTTGAGGTAATTACAGCTGTGGTTGACTAAATAAAAGGTAGTGGCCCTCATTGGATGAAATCAGCCCTCTGTAGTTTATATTTTCTGATTGTGAATAGAATATTTGTTGTCTCTACACAGAATGGTGTCTTCTGTGGTTCACACAGGCATTGGTGATGCTAGGAAATAATTGTGATTGAAACAAGGAGCTTGTGCATCATGTGGATGTAACCTTTTTGTTCAACATACTCATAGTATTCAAATTTGTGCATTTTTTAAAACAGATTCAACAATGGGTGGATGATTAAGATTGGAAGGGGTCTTGATTATTTTAAGAAACCACAGGTAAGGACGCTTTGACTTCTTTAACTTAAAACAAGCTCTTCTACCATATATGCTCACCATGTCAATTCTCTTAATTTCTGCAGGGTCATTTCAGCATTGGATACTGTGACTTCGACTTGAGACCTTGTCATGAAACAACAGTGGATGTCTTTCATACTAAACACACAAAGCAAATGTGATCAGAAATGACTGCTTTTAATAAGTTTTTTCATAAGCATGAAAATGTGAGACTGAAAGATGTTGCTTGAGTCCAGCTGGTTGCTGACAGAAGCAACTCTTCTAAGTACTTAGTGCAGCAGAGCTTCTATAAACTGTATGTTTAAGAATATTTGAGACTTTCCAGTCTGAGAAAACAGAACTGCATGATGCCTTCATTGTATTTCTGTAATCTTAGTTAATATAATCCATGTCTAAATTTTATCTTGATTTCATAACAGACCCTCAATAGTGGCTTTCAAAAGCCTCTTTCCTGCCATTTCTATTTTTATTATTGATTTGGTCTTGAACCTGTTTTGGATTTTATATCTTTTAACTCACAATCATTGGAAGCTGGGTGGCCACATGGCCTCTTTTATAAGCAGTCTTATTTATTTCCTTTAATTCCTGTATTCTAGTCATGAGTACTATTTTGCTGGGTTTTTGTCAATCCTGCAGTACTTTATTTCCCAGACTTTACTAGTAATCCCAAATTTCACATTCCATTTTCCAAGCTCTTTGCCTACAAACATGGTAGTGTTCAGTACAGAGTCATTTTAGGGTTGTCTTATGTGTCTCTGCATAATGGCTTTTGGACTGGGAAGGCTGCAATCAGCTGTATTCTCCTCTCTGTCACTCCTGTGTGTCCTTTTATTCCATGATACATGGCCATATACCTGATACCCATCCTTTGCATTAAGTGTGGAAAGGATGTGTGATCCTCTCCCAGTCTTACTCTCTGACTTTAAAGTCCAATGACTGGCTTTTCATGCCACTCTCAACTGCAGTAAGCTATTTCTCTGCTACTAAGGTAGTCCCCTAAAAAGAATAAGATTTTTCAGAAGTTGGATACCCTGAGTATCTCAGCTGGTCAGAGCATGGTGTGAATAATGCCAAGGTCATTGTTGTTATTCCTGCAAGGGCCTTTCACTAAAGAGCTGGACTTGATCCTTGTGGGTCCCTTGCAATTCAAAAAACTGTGTGATTCTAAGCAATACACTGTTTAGAATAAAAACCAAGTCTTCCATTGTCATTCCTTCAGCCTTTGGAAACCAGAAGGTATTACCAGAGGTGCTGCTCTTTTTTTTTTTTCTTTCTCATACAAGAGTCCTTTGTTAGCAAGAATCTGCCTAAGTCATACACTCTGACATAAAAAACAGGCAGTGGCCTCTTTTTTAGGTCCCATCAAAGTCTTTTCACCCTCAGGACTGACACGTGCCTTACACTTTATGCCTTGTAATACAGTAGGCCTCTATATTCTAGTAGCATATTTATTGCTAGAACATTTTTTTGTTTCCTGTATTACTTTTCCCTGATGGATAGTGTATTCCATTGTCTTTCTTTTTTCCTTAATGTGCTTTTTATTTCATTTTCTGTCATCTAATGCTGCTATTCTTTTCCTCTTGTTTCTAACTGTTCCACAGCAATCAATAAGAAACGGAGCTGGTCTTTGCCTTGTTTTCTGGGTCATAATTTGCCAGTGGTCTGCCTTCTTTATCCTTTCTCAGAGTAATTCAGCTTTGCAGTGTTGCACCAGCAGAATGAATAATATGTGTGCCACAGAGCTGTGTGCTATTAGTCATTCTCCTAAACATTCCATAGGAGCTTCCTGGCTTGCTGCTGTGATATGAAGTTTCTAGTCACTTGTGAATTTTATTCAGTTGTGTATAATATATGCCTATTTTTTAATGGGAATAAAGGTTATTTTTTACTATTTGTAGCTTCAATCATCTGTTTGATTTCTTTACTACATCAGGAAATTCAAGCAAGCTGTGTAATGCCTCATAAGATCCAGCCATGTTCTGGAGAAGGCTCACTGTAAATACAGTAATTTCCCAAATGTGAAGTGAGGAAGTGTCTTCATATCTTTTAACCCAGTCCAGAAATTTCAAACATAGAGAATCACAGAATTAACTAGGCTGAGATCATTGAGTCCAACCTATGACCTAGCATCACCTTGTCAACTAGACCATGGCACTGAGTGGCACTTAATAAACACCCCCAGGGATGGTGACTCCACCACTGCCCTGGGCAGCTATTTCAATGCCCAATCACTCTTTCTGTGAAGAATTATTTCCTAATGCCCAGCCTAAACTTCCCCTGGTGCTGCTTGATGCCATGTCTTGTCCTTTCGTGTTACATGGGAGAAGAGCCCAAACCCCACTTGGCCACAGCCTCCTTTCAGGTATCTCTTCTGACCTAATCAGAATCACATTACACTTATTCTTCAGCAACAGTGATATATACATCTTGAGCCTTTCTTTTGTAATTTTACTATATATATATAGATATTATTTAACATTAAAACCGTCACTTTCAGTTCATAGTTGCCTTTTATGGGAGAATCTTCTGCTAAGTGGTAACATAAGGAACCTCTTTCTCCTAGATCTGTATTTGCATTTCCAATTGTTTAGCTTTGATACCAGTACCCTTGGAAGAAGGAACTCCCAGCTTTGTGCCAGGCATAAGACAGGCACAAGAACAGAGGAGGCATATGTGGCCTCTGTCCCAGTTAGTCCCTACTGCCCTCATCACATAAACCCACACACTGAACTACCTAATCTTCCTCTGCTCTTGCACATGCATGGACAAAAGCGCGAACCCAGGGTGGACCTACAGTGATTCGCTACCCTGTGGTGAGCTCAGCTCACTATGGTGCTTGCACAGCAGAGGCACAGGGGCACCAGCACTCTGCAAGAAATGACTTTCAATCAGAAACCAGCGACATCCCTCTCCACACAGCTCAGTGGCTGTGACACTGCCTTTGGGCTGCTGTCCCCAAGGAGCAGGATGCAGACTGGGGCACCCAGTGCAGCAGCCCAACACCAGTTTTACACCTTCCCCATTCCATCTATATCAGCTATTTGTACCTTTGCTGCTACAGGGCCAATTTGGGATGCCTCCACCATTTTCCCTGGTTCAAGCAGCAATGATGTCTTGTGAGCAGAGGTTTCAATTCTACAATTTGGGAACATCAGGTGCAGGCAGTGTGGAATTTAATTGCAATATTAAACAAAAGCACAAGATTGAACAGTTTGTTTTCTACAAGCTGAATTTTTCCCTTACTAGTGAATGTTTTAATTTTGTTTTCAATACATTAAATAAAAAAGCAGCAGAAGTTTAACTTGTATTTTCAAAATGCAAATCACATTAATCTTATCATATTCTCACATAGTAGACTCCACCTGCTGTGCAACTCATTGTCTTGTGGACACACTCTTAGCAATGTTGTCACAAGCGCAGTGGTTTCGTTTGGGCAAAACTTGCTGCCCGTAAGACTCTTAACCAGTTCACTGTACAGTCCTGGTGGCAGCCACTGCTCTGGCAGATCAATGTTACAGACTTCAATCCTCCCATGCTTTACGTCCATATTTACTTTAACGTCAAAAACAGAATCTTTATAGGCCATGTTAAGACATGTGCTAACACTGAACTTCGGTGTCTTTCCATACACCCATTCCCAGGTTTGTAGTTCTTTAGTTTTGCTACTAATTCCAGGAAGCAGAGTCTCGTCAGCTGGATTTATTAAGGTGATATGGTGATCTATCTGGTGCTGCACAGCATATTCTTTAGCAATGGCATCCAGTAGCATCTCAGAAGTTAAACTAGGATCATCTTCAAAGAAATTTTTCACTGAGGCAGGCACACTAGGAGTGGCATTGCTCTTTAGCCCTCTATAAGGACTTTTTAGCACAGAAGATAAAACAAACTTATCTGCATTACAGAGTAAGGTACAGTGATGATAAGCACTTGTCCGTCCCAGCTTTGCAGCAGTTCCTGAGATTTTGTATTTCCCGTCTAGCAAGATGTCATATCTGTCAGTGACATGTACATCTAACTGGGGCCGCAAGGCTTTCAGTGCCTTCACCACAAGCTTCAGGTTTTGCATTCGTTCATATTTTTTTCTGGTTGTGAAGAAAGTCAAATTGATATTACCTAAGTCATGGTAAACTGTCCCTCCTCCACTTCTTCTCCTGGCTAGTTTTATATCTTTTTGCCTCAATAACCTGAGGTTGCATTCCTGCCAGGGATTCTGATGTCTCCCTATTACCACAGCAGGGGAATTTCTCCAAAGGAAAAGGACCTGTTGCTTCTCTAAATCCATATGGTCATGGATCCAGTCTTCCACAGCTAGATTTTGGTAAACATCATTAGAAACAGACTGGATAATGAGGCCTCCACTAGCTGTGCTCCAGAAGCAAGCTTTTGGAGTCCTGAGGGTGCAGGACAGCCAAAGGTAGTTTTTTAATGACTGGAGTACCATGATTTTAGTAACTGTACAGCGGATGGAAGGACTGCCTGCTCTGCTAATGCTGAATGTGGCAGGAGTGCAGCCGGCTCCTGTGACAGAACTGAAATGCCCGTGGCGGGCATGAGACAGCCGTGCTCTTCCCACCGCAGCACGCGAGTTCCAAGGCACGGTGCTCCTCCGGTGATGCCGCTCAGACCCTGGCGGGAGCCTCACAGGACATCCGCGGGTGTCACAGCAGCTGCTCCTCGCAGTCCCTGCTGCCTGAAAGACCAAAGGAAGAAACGGAATGCGTATTTTCCCATCCTTCATCGCAGCCTTGCTAATGCGGTTTCACTCTGCGTAGTCCAGCTTTGTTAGGGTTTTCTGCCTTCTTTCCCATGGTGTTCCCTCAGCCCCCGACACCGCGTTCCCGCCCGCACAGCCCCACCGGGCGCCCTGCGCTACTCACGGCGGGGAGCGGAGCTGTCCCGGCGGCCGTCGCTGTCTCTGCGGGCTCCTTGGAGCGGGGCGGCCTCGGGAGCGCCTTCCGCTTCCCGGGTGAGAGGCGCTGGGGGCGGGCGCTGCGCTGTCTTGCGGCCGGGAG